AATGTATAGTGAGGGTCTGCTGGAAACATCTGTCAGAGTCTCCCATCAGACTGAGCTTCAACTCACACCTCCGGGGAAACTTCGAACACGTTCCAGGGGAGGTGGGGGACATTGAGTCTCAGTGGGCCATGTTCCATGCCTCCATTGTCGAGGCGGCTTACCTGAGCTGTGGCCATAAAGTTGTCGTGCCTGTCGCGGCAGCAAACCTCAAACCTGCTGGTGGATATCAGCGGTGAGGGATGCTGTCAGGCTGAAGAAGGAGTCCTATCAGGTCTTTTTGGCCTGTGGGAGTCCGGAARCAGCTGATAGRTATTGGCAGTCMAAGCAGATTGCAGCTCGGGTTGTCRCTGAGGCAAAAACTCGGGYRTGGGAGGAGTTCAGAGAGGCCATGGAAAAAGACTTCCATAAGGCTTYGAGGCGATTCTGGTCCACCATCCGGCATCTCAGGGGGGAAAGCGGTTYGTCACCAACACTATTTATAGTGAGGATGGTGCACTGCTGACCTCAACTCGGGACGTTGTGGGTCGGTGTGCAGAATACTTTGAAGACCTCCTCAATCCTACCAACATGTCTTCTCACGAGGAAGCAGAGCCTGAGGACCCTGTGTCGGACTCTCCAATGTCTGGTGCCGAGGTCACTGAGGTGGGTAAAAAGCTCCTCGGTGGCAGGGCGCCGGGGGTGGATGAGATTCACCTGGAGTTCCTTAAGGCTCTGGATGTTGTGGGGTTTTGTTGGTTGATGTGACTCTACAATATTGCATGGACATCGGATGCAGTTCCTCTGGATTGGCAGACCGGGGTGGTGGTCCCCTATTTAAAAAGGGGGACCRCAGAGTGTGTTCCARCTATAGGGGGATCACACTTCTGAGCCTCCCTGGTAAGGTCTATTCAGGGGTCCTGGAGAGGAGGGTCCGTTGMATAGTCAATTCTCTGATTCAGGAAGAGCAGTGTGGTTTTGGTCCTGGTCGTGGAACACTGGACCAGCTCTACACCCTCAGCAGGGTCCTGGAGGGTGCATGGGAGTTCACACAACCTGTCTACGTGTGTTTTGTGGACTCGGAGAAGGCATTCGACCGTGTCCCTCAGGGACTCCTGTGGGGGGTACTCTGGGAGTATGGGGTACCAGGCCTGTAGATACAGGCTGTTAGGTCTCTGTAGGACCGGTGTCAGAGTTTGGTCCACATTGCTGGTACTAAGTCAGGCTCGTTTCCAGTGAGAGTTGGACTCCRCCAAGGTTGYCCTTTGTCACTGATTCTGTTCATWACTTTYMTGGACAGAATTTCTAGGAGCAGCCAAGGWGTTGAGGGGATCCTTTTTGGTGACCTTAGGATCACATCTCTGCTTTTTGTGGATGATGTGGTCCTATTGGCTTCATCAGATCCTGATCTCCAGCTCTCACTGGAGCGGTTCACAGCTGAGTGTGAAGCAGCCGGGATGAGGATCAGTGCCTCCAAATCCCAGACCATGGTCTTGAGCCAGAAACAGGTAGGCTGCCTTCTCCGGGTCGGGGAGGAGGTCCTGTCCCAAGTGGAGGAGTTCGAGGTCTTGTTCACGAATGAGGGAAGAATGGAGCGGGAGATCGATGGGTGGATTGGATTCTCCCACTGGGAGGAGACCCAGAGGAAGACCCAGGACACGCTGGAGGGACTATGTTTCTCAGCTGGTCTGGGAACACCTTGGGATTCCCCCAGAGGAGCTGGTCCAAGTGTCTGGAGAGAGGGAGGTCTGGGTCTCTCTGCTTAGACTGCTGCCCCCGAGACCTGACCCTGAATAAGTGGAAAAAAACAGACGGGTGGGATAGCTGTGGTCCTCCTTCAGCTGTGTTGCAGCAGAACCTCTGCTCCATCCTGTGTGTTTAATGTTGGACATGGTTTTGTTCTGAGTCTCTGAACAGGACACGTGGTCCAAACGGTCCTTAGACTAGCAGAGATTTGGTTCCTGGTCTCACGTGTCCCTGTCCTGGTGGTGAGACAACGTTCTGCTGCTAAACATTTTCAGCTGCTGCTAAATGTCTTCAGCTGTTTCAGGTCTTCGGCTTGGATCAGCTGCAGGAAGTTAAATCATCAGCTTGGAGCCTCCGGGTCTGAGGAGGATCATGATTGCAACAGAGACCTGTGGAAGTCTTCCTGGGTCCAGAACAAGAACTTCAGTGGTCCCTGGGGGCCTGAAGATTTGGACCATCCAAGACTGGATGTCACCAGTCCAGAGGGATGGTTTTTAGACCCAACCTGGACCTGTTTGAGAAGCTGGACCACAAGTTGCAGTTTTTGTTGTTTTAATGGTTTGAATCTTATTTATAAARCATCTGTCTTTGGTCCAGATGCTGACGTCCTGCAGGACCAGGACTGAGTCAGACCAGTTGGACAGAAACTGGTCTAAGTCTTTAACCTAAACTAATCTATGGATTGGACACTTCCTGTTTTCTTTAAATCTATTTTCTGTTAGAAAATCTGAGTCTGATTAGAAAAACAGCTTCATCCAGCTGCAGAACATCTGGAGTCAAGTCATCCTGGTCTTCAGGACCAGGGAGGGATCTGAGCCACGAGGACAGGTCAGGCTGCAGTACAATGGTTAAGGTTAGTCATAGACTTGAGTAAGAACTCCAGCTCTTTCACACATGAATTATATCAGACAGGATTTTTTCTGAAGTGTTTTTATGTTTCTTGTGGCATAAAAAACATGTGAAAAATCTTTGTAAAAATGTTATTTATTCAGAAMGTTTTCCACATGTCCACTCAGGTGGACWGCTTATGTTTTGAGACTTTAAAATAATTCTGTATAATTTGAAATATTTTGAAATCTCATTTTAGTTTTCACTGWGATCTCATCCAACCCTTGATCTCATGTTTATTTGTTCAGTTTTATGCAAACTGCTAATTTTCAACAGTGTGTTATTTTAGTGGACTTATTAAGCAGTACTGCACGACACTTAAAAGTTTGCCCTCACTATTTTCAGACCTTAAGTTTTTTCCTGGGTTGTCCTGCTTGATGGAAAGCTAACCCTTAAAAGGAACAATCTATTCCAGCTGGTTGAAAGTCTTCAGGATCAACTAGTGATGGAAAGTTTTCTCAGGTGCATTAAACACTGCTCTGATGTTMAACTTATCAGCATTTCCTGGTTCCTCTGAGTAATTATCAACCAAATGACTGTASGACAGAAGCTGCAAGCTGTTGGCTACCAAATCAAGATGAAGCCCCTGCTCTGAGGACCATCCCTGCTCTCGTGTATCTCAGGTCTGACATGACCTCAGTCATTAGATGACTTTACATTTCTTATAAAGGGACAGTTCTTCAAAATGACCGTCCTTGTTTTTCTACATATTTCTGCTTCTCTGACCCTCAGCTCAGTTAGCTGCTGAATCTTCAGTCACTTTGTCTCGAACCATCTTCTGTCAGTCACCTCTCATCATCCACACCTTCAGTCACTACTGCTCAAATTTAGAGTTTTTCTCACAACTCATCACTTCCCCTAACTTTAGTCAGGACAGTCACTCCACTATCTTGTAGACTTCATTCACTCTGAGCTCTRTAAAATATAAAAACCTCATTTATTACTCAGGTAATGTAACAATGAACTTCTCTTTCCTTCCAAAATCTTCAAGTTATGTTTTCAACTATGACTCGGTTTATTTACTGTCATCTTACTGCAGATATCACAGAAGAGAGCAATAATTTTAATTACTGTTGAAACAGACATCAGGTTTAGTGGACAGGGSATCAATTGTAATTTTCTCCCAATTTAAAGTTAATATTTGGAAAATATATAAACAGTATTACTCTTTAAGTCACTTGATGTCATTTTTTTTACCTGAAAGAATCCACTGTAGAAGGACTGACAGGTGCTTGACATGCTTTGCTCTCTGGCGGCCATCTTGGATTGGTTGAAAGGTTTTGCACTTAGTGGACAGTGTATTCCATGATGTATTGGTGTCCACTTTAGGGGACTATATGCAATTCTACCATAAAACCTTTACACAAAGAAAATGGCTTTTAAAAAACACTGTCCACTGCAGTGACCACTAATGCATGGAAGGACTGGACTGAGCCCCGCCCACTGTGACAGCATGAAGGAGCAAAGATGGTGACCAAACAGGGCATCACCTCACAGCCACCATAACTGTTACACAACTGGATCTGTTTCACTAATTATCTGTAATATTTAATAGTTTGTGTTAAATTGTAACATGACTCAGTGCTAAACTCTGTAAATATGCTCCAAGCTAATATCTGTTAACCAGTTCAATAAATAACAGTGATTACATGGACTTTATCAGATTATTTTAATTTTAAACTGTTACATTATGTTCTGCTCAGATCACATTGAGGTAAAGATCAAATATGCTGACTTGTAAAATGAGATGTTTTCCTGTTTATCTTCTGTTAATCCATAACAGCTTTTCTGACATTTAAAACATTAAACTGTAAAATATTATTTTAATGTTTCTACATTGTCAGACTTTATTTCTGCTCTGTCACCAACATGTACAGTAATGATAAATCCAGACTGATGTTTAGCTTCTACACCTGAAGAGAGCTGGTTTGTGAGCTCYAGCTGATCCAGTCCACATCAGAGTACTGAAGAGCCTTTAAAACCAGGTCCCTGCAAGACTTAAGCTTTAATACAGGTCCTGAAGGACCTGAGTGTCTCACTTGGACACATTTAAACTGTAAAAACCTGAAGTCAAGTTTTCATCCAGCAGCTCTGATCAGGTTTCAGACTCCCATCAGGATTTTAGATTTTTAAAGAACCTGGACCCAGACCACTTCACTGCCAGATTCAGAACATTTATTAGATCTTTAAAAACCAGAAAATCTTACAATCTATAAAAATATTTTCTATTTACAGCAGATCAGACCAGCAGCCTGGAACAGACTAAAACCTGGAGCTCAACGAGTCCAGGGCTCTCAGAACCGGGGACGTCTCAGAGTCCAAACATCTCCTGCGAGGCGTAGGTCATGTAGAGGAAGCCGTCCTCATCCTGGTGGTCTTTGTAGACCTGGGCCATGGTGAGGGACATGCTGGGCAGCCCGCTGTTGTTGATGAGCAGGTAGAAGGCCTGGTTGGGCAGCAGAGCCATCCGGTTCCTGAGGACAGGTCCACAAGCACAGGTTAGCTCAGAGCTGCAGGTGCTTTGGGTCGTTGGGTTTATTAACCAGTTTAAAACACAAAACATCTGATTCTCAGGGAGAAAACGAGTGAATTTTAAAACCGTCGTTTCAAACAGCACTGACCTGGCTRTAAATATCAGACAGATGTCAGTGATGTACAGATGTTCTGTGAGCAGACAGGATTTCTCTCAGCTTCATGACTAAATCTGGTTTCTGTCAGAGGGGGGCACGGCTTTAATCTGGATTTTAATCTGGATTAAAGCAGATCAGAAAACTATTTTGTTTGAACTGAAATGATTTTTTATTTAGTAAAATCTGGAATAAAATATTTTATTGAAGTTTTGCTCAAATTAATTTACTTTAACATAAGTCAGGATTTTAGACTTTAAAGTCCTGATACAGACCTGGCTATATCTGGGCCTGGACTGGTGGGTCAACAAAGTAAGGACCGGATCAGGTTCTGGTTCTGATGTCCAGAACTTTCCCTGATGAACTGAAGGATTAAATGTTAGTTTTAATTGCTGAGACCCCGCCCCATMAGACCCATTGATTTATTGGATCAGCTCATCGCTGACGTCAGAACCTGTGATCAGATTCTGCTGAGTCATCAGCAAACAGCTGGAGAAACGTAAACAAAGTTTAGTCTAATCAACAGCTGGTCCACGGGTCAAATATGGTCCTTTTTAAACCGTTATTTGGCCCAAAGCCGTGAGAAAAGATCTGAAACAGGTGAGCTTCATACCTGCAGCTTTAAACCAATCAGCTGTCCAGCTGGTACCACAGAGGGGCAGGGACCATCAACCTCTCATGTGACCCCCAGAACCTTCAGATCTGAGACCAGGTCCTCAGATTGAAGGGGTTCTGTCTCAGGTGGAGCAGGTTCTGAGGTCTACAGATGGATCAGTGCAGCGGACTGTTCTGGTTCCGAGGAGCCGAGTAAGGTCTACAGTCCAAGACCGCTAGACCAGAGAACCAGATCTGAGGAGTTCTCTCTACAGGGTKGTGGACTCAGATCTGCTGATCCACTTCCAGAGGACCTGAGCTGGTTCACCTGGTGAGGAGGAACCTGGAGCTGGTCTGGGAAAACCTCWGTCCTCCCAGAAGAGATCTGGACCTCCCTGACCCCAGAGACTGGACTCTGATGGACCCTGCAGGTCCAGTTTGAGGAATGGTTCTCTTGTTCCAGGAAATAGTCCGGTCCTTCAGAAACATTATGGCTTCTTTAAATTTAAACTGAATTTATTCTAAAACACTTCAAACCTTAAGTTTTTGTCTGAAACATTTAGCTTTAATC